TTTTAATATATTTATATAGATAAGAAAGCAAAATAGAGTAATTATAAAAAATATAATTATACATAAATAATTATAAAAAAGTTTAATTATAAATTATAATTAAAATTAAAAATTAATATAATATTTAAATATTAAAAATAAATATTTAAAAAGTTATATAAATTTTTAATAAATTTTTAAACTATTAATATTTAATTCTTAATAAATATTATAAATTATATATAAAATTTATTATTAATATTACTAAAAATCTAATACTTTTTAATTAAGTTAATATTTATTTCTTAAAATTATCCAGCAGATAAATTTGTTTGCTAAATTTTTTAGCTTATTTTTATATATTTATTTCTAATTTTTATAAGCTTAATCTTTCTTTTTCTAAATTAAAATAAAAATAGAATATAAAATATTTAATTTTTATTTATAATTACTCAAAATATTTAATTTATTTTATAATTAATTTTGTAATTTATTTATAAAATATTTTTAAAATTTAAAATTAATAATAAATATTTTTTAAAATTACTTATTTTTACTTGTAGATAACTATAATTTTTTTATACTTATTAAAAAATAAAAATAATTATATATATAAAATATTAAATAATTTTTATAAATATAATAAAAATATATTAAATATAAATTTATGAAATTTTGAGCAGAAAAATTTATCTGCTAAATCTGATTTTTTTGTAACTATTTTTTGAAATTATATTTAATATTTTTTAAGTTATATATTTATTTGATTAATATAATTATAAATTAAGTATTTTTTTATATTTATATATAAATAATATTTATTTCTTTAAATAAATTTTTGCTTTTCAAATTTAGATTTAATATTTTTTAATATATTTTTAATTTAGTTTGAAAATAATAAAAATTAATTTGTATAAATAATAAAAAATAATATTACTACAAGTTTGTTTACTAATTATAAAGTTATAAAATATATTAAAAAAATAAAGTTTTAAAGAAAAAGAGATTTTATTTTGCTTGGAACATATCTATTTAGAAATAAAATGGACCTGTATCATTTGGAATTGACTACGTAAATTAGTTTTTGGAAGCTTGTTTAATTTCCTCGTAAAGTTTTTTTTATATTCATTTTAATCATTTATCATTCTAGTTTAAGACACTTTTTACTTTCTTGACGTTCTAAAGAGCCGTAGTACTGCAAATGCAAAGCATTTTGTAAAAATGTGCGGATTGTTAAGTCTTCAAGTTCCTCAGCAGTTAGTCTGTTTTCTGAATAGGATCCCAACACCTTTTAATAATAAAGTTGCGCCGTCTAAGAATTTTATTTTTAGTCATACTCCTTTATTATCATGACTTCACTCACTAAATGGTCACAATCTCGTAAATAAATATATCAAAACTATATAAATATCTGCAGCTTAGGGTATGGCATTTAATATAGCACCTCTGGACTAACATAGGGAAGTGCCTCATGAATTTCTTGTTTAAATTTTCTATATCTGCTGGAGCATTAAGTCCAACAATTGACTAATCTTACTAAATTATTTTTAAATTGGCTAATGGTTTCGTCATTTTGCAATTCTGCCAAGAATTTAAATATAATCTTAAAGAATAATATTCCTGCATAATTTCATCACTAATTATTATAGGTCAAACCAATTTCGTCAAGAGTTTCGTCATTTCGTCAAATTTAATTTCGTCTCGATTTCGTCAGTATCACTAGTCACATTAATACATTTCCAAGATGAAAGTCACCTCTATCAATTTTTGGTTTTGGATCAAAGATAAATGTCTTAATTGTGTTTCCAAATCAATTATTCGTATTTGGGATTAATATAATAGTACGTAATTTATTCATTTGTATTAATTAATACAGCACTTTAGAACAGTCTGAAATACAGCTTAAATTTATTTTCTTCATGATCCCATTTTTAAAGGGAATATAATTCTAACCCTTTGTAAGGTATTTAGCATTGGTAAACCTTTCAAAAGGAATTCACTCAAAAATGTTTTAAATTTCGCTTTCTTTCATTAGACTGTAGATAACTTTTTTCCACCAAATTATTCAACTTTATAAATTTAATAGTGATACAAAGACACTCGCAATATAACGACCTCGATCATAAGAAGATAGTAAAGTCGTTATATAAAACATAGCTATTTCGATATAATGACTATTTTAGAATTTCCCCTTATGTGCCCGGAGGTGTTCGAGAATGCCTTTATACTTTTAACCTTCAGAGCGGTCCTTATTTTTGACAACGAGGACATTTACTAAATGATGAAACCTTCTCCAAATAGCATTGTTTAAAACTTGAATGGAGTGTCGTGAACTAATATTGAATATATAATTTTTTGTAAAAACTAATATGCGATAAGAAATGTTCTTTATTTTTTTAGATTAACCTGAGATACTTTATGTTCAATAATAAAAAAAGATAGCAAGAAAATCAGTAAATTTGATGTTATGGAAAAATTTGTAATTTTTTACTATAATAAAGAATGATGAAGACTTTTAAAAACCGAATCTATTTTAATATAAATAATTTTGACCGAGTTAATTAATTGTAACGGTAACCAAAGAAAAGAAAATTCTAAATCGATAAATGAAAATAATATTTAAAAGGTATCGGTATGTACATGTACGTACTTTCTTTCGGGCCGATTAGAACCGTAAATGATCAAGTTGATTCCTAAAGGTTTTATTGGATAAAAAGTTGATGGTCATTTGAGTCATTTGGTCACGTACATGTGTAACAATAAAATCATATTACGTATATTGTCGTTATATACCGATACGTATGTGTAAATGTTAATGTCCATTATTTCACTCGGCTTCAGGACACGGATACTCCGGGTGTAGTTTTCCAACCCTTAGTAAAAAGTACATTATTTTGCATTGATTGAAACAGAATTATCATTTAGCTTTTTATCGGATTTAAAAATTTAGTTGAAAAATAGCGATAACAGACGCTTCTAAAATAGTGAAAACGTAATATATGTAAACAATGACACGCGTGAATTATGATTCTTGTAAATGAATTTGAAAAAATATATTAACTCGTTTCGAAAATAATGTTACACGTACCATTTTCTGTGCTATACTTATAAAGCTAGAAACCGTCACAAATGAACGTTGTTCTTTTTGATTTTATTATCTTCAATATGCTACCAGAAGAGTCGGGTAATAATATTAAGCAAGTATAAAAATGGATAAAGACTACTCATTCGCTTTGTTTATTAACACTAAAAATATCCATTGATATCGTAATAGTATCGAAACTACAATTTCCAAAACTTCATTAGACGACATAGCAGGCAAAATAAAAAAATATGATGTTTCAGTGAAATTTGAATCATCAATCAGAGCAAATCAAGATAGGGAAGTGAGGTTTTTATTGAAATCATTGGTTATTATTTGGATCTTGATGGGGATGTCTGTCTACATGAGTGTTTGTGCTTTTTTATTTTTGCTTGCTCTTAATGACAAACTTTCGGTATGTCCGTAATTGGTCCTTACTAGCGCTAGATTTTGAACATCGATTAATCTTTATACATGTAATGCATTATATAGACAATTTCTCTATTACTAGTGGTGAATTTTGTCGGGCTTGATTCGTTTGCACGAATAGCACTTTGTTTCTATGCGTTATTCGATCGTACATTTAATCGACATCCAAGAATTTTCATAGCTTTTTATGCATGTATTTGTAAGTATTTTTTATTATAATGATTTTTCATGTATTATAATGATTTTTCATGTATTATAATGATTTTTCATGTATTATAAGCCTCAAAATTCAAGTTACGTATTAACGTTAATGACGATTATTGTCATTTGTGTTGTTAGGTAAAGAGGAAACGTGGCGACCATATACATCCGGAAAAGCAAAAGCACTTCGAAAAAGTCTTGATATTTACACTCTATGTACTTCATTGATATTTGCCGTGTTGACATTCATGAATATGTATGAAAAGAAGTGCCATGATGATTATTTGTGTTTTTGGTCGTCGGTTTCGTTGGCAGCCGTTAGTTTTATTATTTGTTTCAAGTGTTTGGTGTTTTTGTTCGTGGCTCCGGATTTATTGAGCTGGATAGGGTAGAATACTTTAGGCAGAATAATTTATGTATTATTATTTTTCGACTTTCTCAGTAATTGTTGTAATTGTTTTTTGGTGTAAAAATATAACCGGGTGGCATAATCTTTCCGAGCGAATTCTATCATCTCGTCAGTCGGAACAAAATAATAACTGTCATAATCTGTATCGGGAGATGATGACGCACTATCATGATGATTGTTATTCAAATTTCTTTTGGGAGATATTTGATCCATCGTTTTTGAATTAGGGTGTTACGTACTGGTATATGAATGTATTGGAGGGAAAGAACCGAGCGCCTTCTTTTATATACCTGTATCAATATTGTTTGAGAATCTATATGCATAAATACTGCATATCTATCGTTATACATACACAAACCTATTACATGTACAGATATTTCTCTTGGTTAAGTGGCGTGATCTCACTGGAAAAAATAGGAATCGAGCTCCAATACTAACCTAGTTAGTTGGTCACTGTTAGTTTACTAGGCAAAAATGGGTATGATGTACATGTAATCCGATCCGTAGCTCATACACTGGGTGCATGATGCATAATGATGCAAGAATACAAGCAATTATTATTTATTAGCGTTAGGTGAGATTATTGTACAATAAGTATAACGATAAAGCTACCAAGTATCCACAACTACACTACGTATATACATGTATATGGTTGGGATCATATATTTATCTACATCTACTATTATTACTACATGTATTTTTTATTCTTTATTTACTATCATTATTTGCTTTTTATGAGTATGAGTGTTATGTACTTTATATCCGGGTAAACAACCGCAAGAAAGCACATATTCCCACCATTTTCGTCGGTTTGAAATATTATTGTTGTTATTGTTGTTGTTGTTGTTGTTGTTGTTGTTGTTGTTGCTGTTGTTGTTGATGACGTTTCTTGCTGCTTCTCTACCATATAGTCAACTTGCATTTGTATTCAGGTATCGATGTAAATTTGTATTCGGTTTGCTGTTTTTCCTTGAATCTTGATGGTTCTTATTATGATTATGACGATGATGATGATGATTCTCGCTGTTGTTGTCGTTGTGGCTCTTAACGCTGTTACTCTCAGATTTAGCACGTATTAATTGATTTTGTGTAAAAGCGTAAACGCGTAATGCGTAATCTTGTTTCGCGGCTTCGATCATTGCAGGAGTTGGAGTATAGTAATAGTCATCGTACGAGGTTTGACGTGCATTTGCCGCAGCTGATTTGGTACTTTTTTTTGCTGTTGTCTGTTCCATTTTCAAAGCGAGTGTTTTTTGTGTTGCAATAAAACGTTTTTTTTTTCTGAAGTGAAATACACAGATAACTGTTGATGTGTAGTTAGAAGAATCGCCATAATTTATATCATTTTGTACCTTTATACATGTATAAAGTTTTTCCGTCAGTCACTTGACATTATTTCTTTGTATTCGGCCGTTCTGTTTTGGGCAATAAATAAATACTGTATTTACTTATAGGGCATGTGGCCACCTTATAATAATTATTGTGTTCCACGGTTTATTCCTTTTTCGGCTTTGTACCCGAAATAAACAATTTACCTTTTTGGTACCTACTTCTATTCGGGTTTAAATATGGAATTCCTGACATCATCGATCCATCATCTATTGTTCAACAATCAGTAAGATGATAATTGTATCACATGCGTGCAATGATGACACCCGCGTCGTCCGTCTACGTATGATTCTAGACTCTCACAATGGAACATATTCTACTCTTCCCTATTAATCATAGAACGACAAAAAATGCGAAGCGAACCGATATACGTATGTTGTAGTATATGTCAATTTCATGCGCCTATGCGGTTTAGCGTTAAGGAATATCATGTCTTTTATCCCTTTTTTCAACAGCAACGTTATATATATTAGTGTTATCGTGCTGGGATTGTGAAACAATCGTTCAATCAAAATTGGGTCTTTCAATAAATCAAATTGTGTGAAACAAAGGTTCTTTGATTAATGCAAGATGACGCACACAGCTCATTAAAATGAAAAGATGCAGAAATGTTATTGTTACTGCTATAGTTTATATATAAGCAAAATGCGCACACCAATGATTCGATAGCCTGCGCAAAAGATCGATACAGGGGAGATTAACGTTGCAGCTGCATTTACCATGTCAGGAGATAAAGTTGAGCACCCAAAAAGCTATAAAAGGAATCAAAATTAAAATTCTTATTCAAAAAAGAATGGACTCAAATTTGAAAAACCACGATCGTGGCAAACGATCTCCTGATACAGATTACGGTAGCTATTCTTTTGTTCCAACTGACGAGATGGTCGAATTTGCAAGGAAAGATTATGCTGCACGGTTATCTTTTTACACCAACAATCAATTACAACGATCACTAACAAGTTCAAAAAAAAATCTTGATAAAATAGAATGTAGACGACGCTATCAAAACTTAACAACTGCCTCATAAGAGGGTTTCTCAATCTATATATGTACATTAATAACAAAATATCGAAATTATTCAAAAATGACATTTAATAGTCCTGATACTATTCACGGTTCCAACGATTCATCGGCGGAGAATGGAGATACTTTACTAAATTTTTGCATCGATATATTTCCTATATAAGTGCCAATCAGTGACCCATGTACAGTATATCATATGATATCGACACACATGATCTCGTGATTTGATTGGTTTTTGAATTGGGACTATACTAATTTATTATAGTGCCAGCCAAAGTTACTTGAAAAAAGAACTATAATAAAAATCGAACAATATTATAAAAATTATAGTTTTTTTTTTTTTCTATAACAAAAGCTTATAATAAACTTTCTTACTTTAAAATACTACTTTTATATAGTACAAAATTTCTAATTCAAATATTATATAATTCACATATTAGAATTTTAAAAAATATTACATATTATTTAAAAAATAATTTATAGAAAACTTTTTTTAATAGATTTGAAAAAATGCAAATATTTTTGCATTAAATTAAATAATTTTGATACCATTAGAAAAATCTAGTCAAGATTAAAAATAAAATTGCAATTAATTACAACTAAATCACTATTTTCTAATTGATTATCATAATTAAATTGCAATTTTCTGATTGGATACTACAAATTGCAATTAATTAAAATATCATCTTTAGTCAAAATGGATCTAATGATATCAAAATCATTGAATTTGATTTACTAAATATGAAGATATTATGTCTTAAAAACAACATACAAAATCATTCAAAATTGTACAAATTTTTTTTAATTCTATAAAGAAATTGTTATTTGCAAATATCTTCATATCCAGAAGATTAAATTAAATAATTTGATACTATTAGAAAGATTGAGTTAAGACATATTTAATAATTTCAAAAATATTGAATTTGATTTATTAAATACAAAAATATCATATCTCAAAAATAATGTACAAAATTGTACAAAAAATTTTGTATAATTTTGTATATTGTTTTTGAAATATAATATCTCTATATCTAATAAATCAAATTTAATAATTTTGATACTATTAGATATATTTTGATTAAATTATTAAAATTATTTAATTTAGTTCATTGAATGTAGAGATATTTGCATTTGTTTAAACTGAATATTTTTTTTTATTTTTTATTATTAATTTAAAGTTTGTTAATATTTCAAATTGCTAATAAAATTTCTAATTGATTATATTAAAAGAATTATAATAATCAATATACAATTATATATTTCTTAATTATAATTTATTTTTAGACAAACTTATTTAAAAATAATTTTTGTATTTTTAAAATATTATTTTTATATTAGTATAATTTAATATTTCGAATATTTTTAATTAATATTAAAAATTCAAATTCAAATTTAATTCAAATTTTGATTTAAATTTCAATTCAAATTTTTTATTTGAATTTTTATTTAAATTTCAATTCAAAATTTAATTTAACTTGTATTTTTATTAAAATTTAACTTTTACAATTTATAGCATATATTTTAATTTATAAAAATAACAAGTTAAATTTATTATTTGTTTTTATTTCTTTTAATATTTTTTTAACTACTATATTTATATATAATTTTTTGTCTTAATTATAAAGTTATTATATTTTGTCTTATTTCTCATTTTAATTGTGAAATTATAATTTTTGTAATAAATTTCTTGTTTTAATTGCAAAGTTATAGTTATATAATTAAATTAGTAAATAAATAATTAATATTTTATTTGTTTATAAATCAAATTTAAAAAAATATAATTAATTTTGAATATTTCTGATCTTATTTTAGCTAATTACAAAATAAATATATATTATTTATTTTAGTAAATTAGTATTTTTTTACTTTAAAATTATTTTATATATAACTTTTATATATAACTTTTATATATAACTTTTATATATAACTTTTATATATAACTTTTATATATAATTTTTATATATAACTTTTCTATCTAACTTAGTTTTATATATTATTTATATTCTCTCATAATAAAATTTAAAATCATATAAATAATAATAAAGACTAATATTTTTTTATAAAAAAAACTTTAAGAATATTAATAAAATAAATAATTATTAAATTATTTTATAATATAAATTATAAAATTTATATATATTATTATATAAATTATATATAATTATATCTCTTTATAAAAATATACTTTATAAAAATATTTTCTTATAAAAACTTTATTTCAAGAACCAATTAATTTTATATTTAAATTCTATATAAAAATATTTCACTTATAAAAATATAGAACATATTATTTAGTACTAATTTTAATTAGTCTCTTTCTAAGTAAGAATATATTATATAATAAATATATTAACTAATAGAATTTAACACATGATTATCAGATTATAATAAATATTAATTCACTATTTTTTATTTTCAATAAGCAAGTAATTATTTCAAATACTAATATGAATCTTACAAAAAGTTTTTAAATAGGTTGCTTGATATTGTATATTGTAAAAGATTACTTTATTACTGAAAAATTATTATATTTTTAATTAATCACTCTAATTTTAACTAAATTTTATAATTAACAAAAGTTCAAGTATTGTATTTGAAGATAAGTTATACATAAATTTGCTGAGTATTATAAGTTATAAAAATAACTTATTTTATACTAGTACTTTTATTTTTAGTAATTTTATTCTATTTTACTTATATATATAAATTTGAATTCAAATTAATATTAGATTGCATGTGAATTTTGATATGAGCATATATAAATTTGAATATAATTATTTATATTCTCTTTCTTTAAGTTGATTATTATAAAATACTCTGTATATTATTTCTCTCTTGTAAAATACTTTTTAATTTATATATGAATATTTTTATAGTATATATTTTTATTTATAAATTTATATTATTTAAATTAATAATGGCAAAAAAAAAACTATTATCTATATATTAGTATTAGAAATAATAATTTTATCAGATATTTAAATAAATATTTAATTAAATTTGAATCAAGAGATATCCACACAATTTTTATTTATTTAGTAAGTAATGAATATAAAGATTTTTTATACAGTTTGAAAATGTAAACTCATGAATTTATTAATTATATAATATATAGATCTTTTAAAATTAATTTTTAAATATGTATATAATAACAAAAAACAAAATATAATAATTAAATTTATATATTTTTATTTTAAAACTTTTATTAATAACAATATCTAATGATTACAATTTAAATATTAGTCCTCGAAAAATTATAGCATGATTTATATTATTTTTAATAAGTTTATATTTAACTAAATCAACTAAATATATATAAAAGAAATCAAAAACTAAAAGAAAATGTAAATTACTTGAAGATAATTTTTTAGTTCAAATATTTTTAACTTATTAAAACATTTTTTCTTCATTAATTAATCTTTTTATTTATATAAATAAATATATTATTAGAAAAGCTTTCTTGATGTATTTTTTTTTAATTTAAAAATACAAACTAAAAGTAATTTTGTTTTATTAATCATGCATTTAAGAATCATAGTGAAATTTTTTTCTTTATTACTCATAGTTTGAAGGCTAATTATACAAGCTACACATTTATCAATTATTATTGAATTTGGTAAATTAAAAGCAAGAGAGATCTTATTTATATTTTCAATTAAAATAAAGAGTAATTATATTAAATATATTGATTGAAAATAAAAGTAAGAAACTTTATTTTTTCTTCTAAATTCTCAAATAAATATTATATAATAGTTATATGATATCGATTTGATAAATTATATTAATCTAAAAATTTGTATATCTGAGAGATTTTGAAAATTAG